GTCCAACGGATTACCGAGGAAAGCGACCTCGGGCCGTGGCGACCAGGGTTCGAAGACCTTGCGGCACCTGGTCCTGAATACAAGGATGGCCATATCGACGTATTGGATGCCTTGAAGGCTCTGGATCTTCGGATCCCTGTCCCTATTCCCTATCTGCTAACCATTTCCGAAGCGGCTAATGAAAAGTTGATCGAACGATGCCTCAAAAACAGGCGTCGATTCGAGAAAAGTCGTAAGGGCAAAAAAACGGTCCTACAGGACCTACCCACAAACGAGGAGTCGCAGCCCTCGACCTCAAAGGTGCACGACGCCGACCGGATAGGAATGATCCAGACCGTAGACTCTGCCCCGGAAAAACCCGGGGTATTCCTCCGAGCCTACCCTATAACCTGGAAAAGCGTTGAGTGTGACTGTGAGGTCTGGGGAAATCCCATCCTAGACTCGGGATCGTCAACGGTCGCCATTTCTTGGAGATTGACGAAACAGTTGGGAAGGGAAGGACAGGTTCAGCCTCTCCGACCGGATGAACTGTATATATCCGCTACGGAAGACAATATTCATTGTAAAGGGCGAATAACGAACGTGCCTATACGGGTGGGGCGGGTGCATTGTTTGTGCGACGTAATCGTGCTAGATGTATAGGCGTACAATGTTCTGCTAGGCATTCCGTGGCAGGCGGCGGTCGGAGCGCGAATGCACTTTGACAACTGTAAGGTGGTGCTCACATCGGCCCACCCCAAACCCCAAACGATACCAATGAGACTGGCGGTGCGCATGTGCACCCAGCCGGCTCCTCGACTCACCACGAAAGCCCATCAAATCAACATGACTCGACGCCTGTCACCAGACGAAAATGAACCCTCGACGGAAACTGACGAGACTGATGTACCCGACCGATATCCGATCCGAGTTCAGGATCGGTGGCGCCATTCTTGGCGGCGAGAACCACTGGAAATAGTTCCAAGCGAGTCCAATTGGTCGCACGCGTTCTCCTCCGTTGTGCAGGGGGAACCACTGCTGAGGGTGTCCCAAATAGCTGACCTTTCGGAACCCCCTGCGTCCTTGTATCTCCGAACGGACCCCCTACCTGAAAGATTCACCGAGCTTAGGGGACTGTGCGATTTATCTTTTCGACCTCCACGGCCCCTACTCACGAATGAAAAAGCCGCAATACTCCTGAAAGAGGGGGTGTCGTTTCGACCCCGAACAAGGGAATATCGGTGGGGACCGAGGGAAATGACGCAGGCCTTCTCGGTAGAACCCTCGACCGAACCCGAACTGGACAGTGACAGTGACATGGAAAGCAAGCCGGTGAGTCCGGCGGACAGTCAACTTATTGCGACTGTCCTTTCGGTGAAAATCGACAACTCTTCGCCTGATGCCAGCGCGGCGGTCCCCACGGTTACGACGACGGTCTCCCTTCCTGGGGGAACCGTAGAAGTTCAGTTACCAGCCCGTGTTCCAGATGAATACAGACGCCTCCTCCTGGCGGTTATACGGGCCTATCCTGAGGCCGTCAGTATTCAGGACCACGACATAGGGCTAACCCCTTTGATACAACACGCGATTGATACCGGGGATCACGCCCCGATACATTGCCGACCGTACCGATATTCCCTTAAAGAAAGACAGCTGGCATTGGAAAGGGTACGAGAATTCGAGCGGTTGGGGTGGGTCGAACCATCGCTGGGACCGTGGTCTTTTCCCGTGGTCCTCGTGCCAAAACGAAATGGTTCGGTCGGGGTATGTATCGACTACCAGAAATTGAACACAATCACTACCAAAGATGTGTATCCCTTGCCGCGAATCGACGATTTGTTAGATGCTATCGGGGCCGCGCGAGTCTTTTCCAAGTTCAATATCCGACACGATTTTCACCATGTCGCAGTCCGACCGGAGGACCGACCCAAAACCGCTTTCGTCCTATTTGAGGGCATGTGGTCATGGGTCCGGTGTCCCATGGGAATTTGTAACGCCCCTGCAACGTTTCAGCGGGCCATGAATATGGCCTTCGTTGAGTTCGTTAACAAAACCTGACTAACCCAGCCCCTGATCAATTTCTGCGTGATTGTGTACATGGATGATATTTTGGTCTTTTCAAAAACACATGAGTACCACGTGGAACATATTGAGTGGGTTTTGCATGCACTAAAGGATGCGGGGTTCAAAGTGGCCTTGGAGAAAAGCGAGTTCTTCTTGTCGGAGATCTCATTCTTGGGGTACATCGTCACGGTTGATGGACTAAAACCGGATCCGAGGAAGGTGGCAGCAGTTCAAGAAGCCCCGGCGCCGGTCACACTCACCCAGGTTCGGGCTTTTCTAGGGATGGCATCCTATTACCGATGCTTCATCAAGGGGTTCGCCGGTATAGCGAAGCCCCTCACGAACCTGCTGAAGAAAGAGGAACAACTGATCTGGACGCCGGAATGTGAAGCGGCGTTTCAGGCGTTGAAGGAGGCTCTGGCATCTGCTCCTGTGTTGGCGCGTCCCGACCCGACAAGACCGTTCGCACTGTACACCGACTGGCAGCCTCAGGCGATATCGGCGGTGCTGACTCAACATGGGGCGGACGGAAGGGAACACGTCATTGAGTATGCGTCCAAGACGCTGAGCCAGGCGCATGCTAATTACGAAGCGTGCAAAGGAGAATACCTCGCGGTGGTGTGGGGGATCCAGCATTTCCGACCGTATCTTTACGGCCAAAAATTCGTGCTGGTAACGAATCATCAGCCGCTGCTGTCCCTACGCAACAATACGGACTACACGGGGACGATGGGCAAGTGGGCGGTGCGTCTGCAAGACTATGACTTCGACATCCGCCACCGTGCCACGCGACAGCATGGTAACGCCGATGGACTGACGTGCCTCCTACCGCCCAACAAGTGTCCCGCCAACGAGTGACTCATTCCGTGGAGGCCAGAAGTCGCGGCGACGAAACCGCACTACGGGGAGCTACACGTGCTGCGCAAGAACGACACCTGAGTCCGGAATGGAGGTTTCACCGGAGATGGCAGGCGCTATCTCTTTGCCCTCATCCAACTCCCTCGCTCTCTCGTCTAGTCCCAACTCGTCCCCCGAAACACATCTAAGTCCCTGTTTTTTCTGTACCTTGCCTATGGTCCCGGACCAAGAAGGGTCACATCCGGGAGGGCCCAGTTTTCTTTTGTGGGTGCAGTGTAGTCGGTGTCAAGCGGTCAAGTCCCACGGACAATGCATTAGGTACCGAAGTGAAAAGACGTGGGTCTGTCCCAACTGTAGAACGGACCAAGTCCCTACCGAGAAACGATATCTGGATGCTCGAACAACCGATGGATTTGCGCCAAGTGTCCGCCGGGCGGAAGTCTGGACGAACCTTCTGTTGCTACGGAGGCTGTCAGGCGACTCGCTGTCAGAACTTACCAAAGCCGAGCGGCGGAGAGTCATGGAGGGGGCGCAGGACTATCGCTGGCAGGGACCAATGTTACAAAAACGAAAAGTCGATGATGACGGAGGGTCTAGCTGGTTGACGGTTCCGCACCCTTTCGCTAGGTTCGATTGGACACGAGCCGCTCATGAGGAGGATGCGGTCCATTTCGCGGTCAAGTACACGAAAAAAGCCATCGAAAAGAACGGATGGTACTGGTCGGGGATTCGGGAAGATGTGAAATACACCGTCCAGAATTGCCCGGCCTGCGCGGCGGACAAGGCGCCGGTACAGATGCCTCGGACGATGGTGCCCACTCGGGTAGAGCGCCCCTTTCAGAGGGTTAGCATCGACACGACGGATATCAACGTTCCGAGAGGTTCCGTCGATCAGGGAGAGCTCAATGTTCTTTTAGTGGCCGTCGAACATTTTTCGAAATGGATAGAGGCATACCCTATGACCAGCCGTAACTCGGTGGAAGTAGCCTGGTACGTAAATCGATTTTTGTGCATGCATCTAGACGTAGAAGAGGTACACATGGACAATGGGTCGGAATTTCAAGGCGAAGTAGAACATCACCTAGTCAGGGCGGACATTAAGATTATCTACTCGCCGGGGCATTGGCCTCAAGCCAATGGCCTGGTAGAGAATGCCAACCGACTGATTAAGACCGCCCTTAGACGGAATATCACCGCGGGAGACACCCGGCCCTGGCCGGTCATTG